CCTACCTACCTACACACACACACACGCATACATTAGTATGTATATATACACATACATATGCACATACATTGGTGTATGTATATATACATATACACCTATATGCAACCTATTCTGCATCTACACAGCTATACACAAATACATGTAAACACACGTGTTCGATAGCCACTGGGCATGACAAAAGAGCCTCTAAATTCATCTGGCTACAAGAAACTTGGCATCCGATGCTCAGCAGAAAGCAGCAATCTGAAGAGAAGCAAATTACACATACCAAAAAATCTCCGCGTGACGAGGAAGCAGGAGGTTCTTCAGTTGTCTCGTAGTCTGGGAAGTGCAGGTGTTGCGGAAGGAGCCTCACAGACACCTCTTCATGACTGATGCGGGCAATGTTTTGCCCACGGCATGCGCAGGCAAACTGCTGTTCTAGAAGCCCACACATTGAAAAAACGATGCCTCACTAAAGGCACCGCGTCTCAGTTCAGCCACCTGTTCTCCACGAGCTTTCTTGCCTGGACAATCAGAGCTTGCGCACTGCTCCAGGGATAAACTGACAAGCACTACCACAGACTGCGGCGACCCAACGAGCACACAAGTTGCTTCCCATCTGCCCACAAAACCAAACCAGCAGCCCCATGCAAAGCGCGATCTGGCCTGAGAGACCACGAGGCCGACAAGGAAGACAGCGAAGGTCAAGCAGATCGCCGTGGCGTTCAGGATCTGACACAGGCTCACATGCCGCACTTGCCGGGGTGTCTCGCTGGGACGTGACTGCATGGTGCTGTTTCTTCGAAGGCCGCGTGTGAGTGTATGATTCATGCTTGTACCTGGGTCATACTGCCACCATCTGCTATTCCTAGAAGTCCGCTTTACTTCCAGTGCGTTTGCTCGTCATTGTCCCATCGTTACTACTGTCGCTACTTGCACCGCTACAAAACCGCACTGACAGTACAGTCCCGTTGCGCGAGGTGCTTGTGCCAAAGTCCGTTTGCCAGCGCTCACCGTGCATCGAACTGTCATGAATATTATAGTCTTCCGCAATCTTCTGCATGTTTAGTGATTCCCGTGCGACCTGTTTTGACGCGTGGTGCTCCAGTCTAATGCGTTTTCCGGCATTCGGACTGTAGTTGTCGTGCTCAGCCACTGTGCTGCTCACGACGTCCTCTGCTGGCATACTTGTATGAATAATCATCATGGAAGTCCTAACCCCAAACCTTAAGCCCTAAAGCCTTCGAGCCCTAAGCCCTACACTCTTCACCTCCTAAACGTCTCGAACAAACCCTAGACTCATCCTTGCTCCTGCTCCCTTGTGGCACCCAGGGCTGACCTTGCGGTTGTAGGCCTCCGTGGAATCCTTGCGGATACAGAAGATCTGGGGTTCCGGTCTTCTGGGATTCAGAGCTCGGGGTTGAGAGTCAAATCAATCTAGCATCTAACGACACATCACCACAACAACAGGGCATCTAAACATAGACACAGGCCTCTGTATATAGTCTACATCTTCTCGAACCTTTCGTCTGCGCTACCCAAGCAAGCAGACCAGACTACCCGTCTGTACCATGTCGCTGCTGACAGCATCGCTCTGCATTGTGACATCTCCGGGGCCGCGGCTGGGTCGATGTTCTGCCCGGCCTCGGAGCCCTCGCCCCAAGTGGCCAAAGCCGGCAGGGAGCCTGATCGGGCCGTCTATAGACAAGCAGAGGCAGCAGAGGCTGGGATATTTGGAATCTTCTGCAACAACCAAGACACTAGTCGTGATCCCGCGCTCACAGCAATCACCAAAGTGTCCCAAACACTCTTCCTCACCGAGCCGCCTGAGAGCGTCAGTCCTGTTGACACAGCCGCAGTCTCCAGCACGCGCAGCTGGTGCTGGGGGCCCTGCCAAGACAAAGCAAAATAGAACCAGATTTTCAAAACCGCTGGCGAAAACTTCGGATGTATGCCCTGCCTCCACAGTTCGTGCTGGGGCCTATGCATGCGCGCTCAGAAGGCGGTGACTGTCGGAATATCGGTGATGCTTCACGGGAGCCTGCACGAAAGTGGTGGCCGACTTCAGGAGCACCAGGACGGCAGCGCACAGAGCCTGAGGGAGGAGGGCCGAGGATGAGCTTCTTCAGACGACGATGCACCACCGATGCTCCCTGGGAGCAGTGCCAACGGCAGCAGAGTCAGACGGGCCATCTTGGGACCTTGGCAACTTTCATAAGCGCAAAGCCTCAATGCCTTGAAAGCCAAACTCCCGAACTCCCGACCTGTTTGTGTGCTGACCTTTGTCCCTATCTTGTCGCCTCTGAGCCGAACTGCGTCACAGACGTGACAGGATCTTGCCTTTCATCTCTCAAGAACAGTGGATGCCGATGCCAGTATTGTGCGCACATATTTACACTATGTCCTAGGTCAAGGGCAGCACACGTTCTTTTGGCACTCGATGGAACCGTCAGGCAGCCGATTCGCTTTGGAAGTCCAGCTGATGTGACACTGCCGGACCAACCCGAAGACATGAATGCTCTTGGTCGTCTCAGAAGCGGCCGCATCCGCCGCCAAAAGACGCGAGTTCCGCGCGCTTCCCGGCCAACGGGCCTGAAGGGCGGGATGCTCTGTCGTGCCAGAAGCGCAAAAGGACAGCTTGGGCCGGCTAGCAAGCTCAAAACGAGAGCAGGGGCACAGTGACTTGAAGCTCAGGTGCAGTACTGCATGGCCCAACCCCGCGGCTGCGGCAGCCAGGACGAGCACTGCCTGGCTGCAAGATGGTGCAAGACAAAACCAAAATCGGAAATCCACAATCATCATCATTACCACCATCATCATGATCGTCGTCATCATCATCAGCATCATCATCATCATCGTCAGCATGATCATCATCGTCAGCATCATCATCACCATCATCATCATCACCATCATCATCCACGTGATGGGTACTATCACCATTGCGATTATGATCAGCATCCGCAATATCGGCATCCCCCTCATCTGCATCAACAGCCTCATCATCAGCTCTGTCACCACCACAAACATCATCACCGTCGCGTCATCATCACCATCATCATCATCATCAACGTCACCTATATCACCATCATCATCAGGATTATTGACATCCTCCTGATTTTCATCATCAGCAACAGTGCGGATCGCTGCCAGGCAGCGGGTGATGAAGGATTTCGCACATGTCAGTAGCCAGGCATCAAGCCACTGACCTCCTCGTGTGCTCACCCGTTACATACCCCCACGCCCTTGCTTTTTCGCGGGCCTTGTCACACTGATCTCCCAGTGGCTGCAGTATTGGTCTGGGTCCTGGATCTGCTCTCCTGTGCTCAAGGGACCGAGCAACAACTGCAATCAAGGCCGAGGAGGCTGAGGCAACAACCGACCAGAAGCTTGCAGTCGCGGTATCGCACAAGCGTGAAGTCGACGTAACTGATGCCTCGCTGAAGATTCTAGATACAGTTTCAGGCCAGAACTGAACCCTCTGACCGTGTCTGCGTGTGCTCATTCGGCTGCGGTCCTGTGAACTCTAACGGGAGCCCCAAAGACTTCGCATGCAAGAAGGTATAGAAATGACCCACATCCACCTGAGATGGCACTCGTAAAGCTAAGCAAAACCACGTCACACGACAACTCGGAAATTAGCGTGTGTGCGAGTGCGCACAAGTGCGTGCTGCCGAGTACATCTCCTCCACAAGACTTTACAATTTCTGCCACACCTTTTACACGACACGCCGAAAACACTACACTAGTGCCGATCTCCATGTACATACAAAGCGTCCTGCTACATTGTCCCAGGTGGGACATTTCTACAAATCTAGGCGATTTCGGCCCCAATAAACAACTTATGTGTTGGACAAGCTGGGAATGCTGGAAGGTGTTGCAAGTTTGTTGCTACGGTAGCTAAAAATCCTCGCACTGTTGCGTTTTATTCTGCGTTCTATTAACCATAGTCATATTGTTTCCGATCATATCACCTTCTAAATTGTGCATCTGGGCAAAGTGCTTCTCTGCTAGCAACACATTCGCACGTCTAAGCCAGATTGTATATCTACCATGCGACTCATACAAGCAACCAAACATGGTACAGGAGCCCAGCATTAGTCCCAATAATGTGTTGGCTTGTAAAAATACATACCACAAGGACAGGGCCGCCGTCGCTGGCGTACTCTCAGCAGACAACGCCAATGCTACGCTGAATATCCATGTTCGCATCACATGTAGTTAAGCCAGTCTGCCTGTCTAATGAACGGATGTGAATGCGTGGACTACATACATGGAGGATGGTACTAGGGTTGAGATGTACAGTTCTAGTAAAACAAAGACCGAAGTTGCACATTTGCCGAGACCCGTGCCGTGGAGCCAAAACAAAAAAAGCATGATTTGTATCAGGTTTCGACATGGATTAAAGTAGGTTACAGTCACATTGATGAGGACTACTGCAAACGAGCTCTGATTCTCTTGTAGAGTTCATAGTCAGGAATAGTGTGGGCTAGAAAGATGGACACAAAATGCGTGTCATTTCTCGGATTACTTCATAAAGTGGCTGCTACGAAGAAGTCGCACGGGCTATGAAAATATGCACGACATAAGAACCTTTGTAAGCTTCATCACCACGACATACTCTTCCTATGAGCAGGCAGGCTTTTCGTTGAGAGGAGAAGTGTAATCTGCTTCAGATCTTGGGGGAACTATCCAAGCAGTCGGGATATAGATTTATGTGCCAGAATCTGGCACGTATATAGAAATCCGGGAAGAGATGCAATGAGGGTACGATGTGGATTGATATGGATTGTAATCGTTTGATGAAAAGAATTACGGCCAAGCTTTAGTGTTGACTTGCATGGTTCCTACTAGAGACATACTAGAAAGGATTCTACGTGGGATGACCGGACCCAAGGTCTAATGCTGACCTGTAATTCATACTACCTGAAGAAACCCGTGAAACACTCCGATGCTCAAAAACTAAAACAATTCAGAACCCCGGCACCTATGGCCGAGCTCTACAGCACTTCAGGGCCTGAGTCTCACCAAACACTGCAATGCTCCAAAAAAACACCTTTCTCTCTCCATGTTTTCAGTCCTTTTGTCGGTTCCCTCTGCACTGCGTTTGTCTTTTCGTGGCTTCAGAAGTGTTCAGGCTCGCTTGTCATCTTCGCAAGCATGCCAGTGTCAACATTCAGACACAGACTGACACTCCTGACGACCTGTAGCTTTGCATGTTCCTTACCAGCATCTCCAGTTCCGTCGATGAAAAAAAGAGCCCGAGGAAAGTGTGTGGCACATGGATTCTGTTCGGGCCTCCTACTGGCAGCGGCCGATACAACAGAACACCTACATATACCTACACGCTGCAGCCCAGAAGCAGGCAAATCGGCAGACACCAGGCCGACGTGCGCGCGCAGTGCGGGCACTGCGGAGCCCCAGGAGGCGAAGAAATCCATGCTTCGTGAGGAGGCTGCAAACCAAAAGTCGTGAAGTCCTGGTTCTCATTGCGCAGCTTAACGCGATCCAGCAACAATACATAACAGCATCTAACAGCAGTTGCGCGGAGGAATTGCGTGTATAAGCGAATGTAGGGCCTGCAGCGCAGCAATCAGTCAGCAGTTCAACGCCCGGTCCTACCGTTGCAAACTGCGATGGCGCATAAACGCCAGATGTTTTGTAGCGGACGTCGCTGATGCTGCGGTCATGGGTCAAGACCTTGACCAGCCACGACAAAGATTGCGAGCTTGATTGAGGCTGGAGACCGCTAAAAAATCTGAAACGTGGGCCGAGCTGCCACCTCGCGCACAGCGAGGTCTTCCGCATGGATCGAGCACCAGTACCCAGTCCAGAGGGCCGATGAGCCAACTGCAGGGCTCAAACGCAGCGGAGACCTGACACAGCCAGCGAGATCAATTCGTCTCCCTAGACGACTCCGCTCGCCTGAACAGGACGTCATACCGCATGAGAACGACAAGGTCGTAGCGAAATCCCTCTTCTGCCTCCTGCAAGGCGGTCACGGCGACAGTATCATTCAAGCAGATCTACTGCGCATCTACACTGTACACACTGTTCTCGGTTCTTTCCTTGCTCTTGCCATCTGCTCCAGGGCATCGCCCGGCCTTGATGCTCTTCAGCTCCACACTGCGCCGAAAAGTCTCACCGAAGCTTTCTACCTGATATCTCTAGGCATGGGGCTCTTCGACACGTCCAATACGTTCATGGGATTGCTTGACAGACCGACCACAGGTCAGAATCTCATCTTTGCTTCGTTCTTCAAGACCTTCCTGTCTGCAGTGGTGCATCGGATTACACGTCGAAATACGAAGTGTCGCTGAGGCACCGTGGGCAGATGCTCTGGCTGCGGATCAGCTTTCAAGGCCACCGGCCTTAGTGCTATCCAAGTGCTTTCACTCTAGAGTGTGAAGATGCCGCTGCCGAAGCAACAGGAAGCATTTGCAGACTGACTCGGTGCGAGTATCTCTCGTGTCTGCTTGATGACTGGCAAGCAGCGGAACGAAACTTTCTCAGTACTGAGGAGTCCACATGTAGGCTTGATGGATCCTCAGACGACATGCTGCAAACGATGAGACAGACAGGCTTCGGCGCCCTAAATTCCAACCCAAGGGTCGCTGACGCCAGATCCTCGTCCCACGTGTGTGCGAACACGTCCCAGCGCAGGTCGGCATTTGCCCGCACCTGAGCAGCTTTGAGGAAGGCGTGCAGACGAAGCGCATTTAACTCCAAGATTTCCTCTGAACAGGAAGACTGCTGCCTTCACCCATGGCTTCGTAACATGCAACTTCCCCAACCCTGCATACAACTTGTTGCAAAAACGAGTTATGGCTGCAAGATGCCACATGTTCCCAAACGGAGGCAGCAGCGATCTCCAGCGCCTCCTCTGTCGAACCCTCCTGACGAGCAAGCTTTGGGGTTTGAGCCTTGGGGGGTCTTGGTTCCGCACAAAGCCATCGGATCATCGTGAAGGCGCTAGAAGGCAAATGCTAGCGCATCCGCTTGCGTCTGCTTTGTCTGCAACTGCTGGGCTCCTCGTCGAACTTTCCTCGAAGATTCCCGACTCGGCCAAAGAGGCAGAGAGCCGCGCGCGCACAAAGGCCGCCGAAGCGCGCCCTGCGCAGCTCCCAAGTGCATCTACTTAAGTCCTTTGATCTTTCGACCCTTTGGCTGGAATGACTTTTTTGCGCTTGAGGTGGGAGCACCACGGCTGCTCTGTGAGCGTTTTCAAAAACGACACCCTCGTGGCATAGCACCATCGTTCAAACATGGCGAGGCTCTTTCTTGGATTTCGTCCAGTTTGGGCATCGAAAAATGGTTGTCAGCCTTTACCTGTGCTCCAGGGTGCGGTGCCTGACATGCACAAAGTTTACTGGAACCTTCCGAAAGTCTCGAAATGGTGCAATGCAGATGCCTGGTCCCTCAGCATCTGCGTCGTATTCATTGCGGCTGCCACACGTCTGTCTTGATTGCTTCCTCTTTGCTATCCAGGACTGACCCGCTGTGACATGCTATCCACGGTTTGATCAGCATGGTCCTGAACCTGTAGACAACGGCTGTCCGTTTCCACAGTATTTCACTGATGCTTTCTGCTCCCGCCTGCCCTGCCGACAAATACAGACTGCACGGAAGTCTGTGCACATTTATCCTACTCCCTCCTGTCGATGACCCACAAGGTTGGCCGGAATCCGTGTGTCGTAGACCCCCCAGCACAATCCATTCTCACGCCTGTACAACTCGCTCGCATCTCCCGGCGGAAGGGAGGTGAATATGAAGTTGGTTTCAAGCCGTTGATCACTCGAGCATCACGAGTTAGGGGGCTCTAGCCATCCCCAAACTTCCAAGGAACATTCGGGCTCAGTCCATCTTACTGCACGCAAGTCTCATGGCACAAGTCCCCATGGCATGGTGATAACCAGGGTGCTTGGGTGACGACGTCTGCATCAGGCGGCACATCACTAGACTGAATCCCGCGGGCGTTTTGGAGTTGTTCTCCGCATCCGCTATTCTGTGCCAGATTAATTCACTGGCTCGAATGAAATCTGGTGTGTTTTCGTGCCCGCGATCCACCTTCCGTTCGAGTGCATCAAGGGATTGAGGGTACTACGCCAAAGATAGATCGGCTGAGCCGTGTCTGCACGGAATAGACAACTCGAGCGACAGAAAAGCTACAAGGTTGAGATTTGTTGAGGACTGGTCGCGGTTGCTCGTGTCAAAAGCTCAATCAAAACGGCAAAAAGACATTTGACATGTTGACGCGTCTCCCAACTTAACAAGAAACTATGTGAGTTTGTACATCTTTTCCAGGAAGGGTAATGGAAGCTGGCTACTGCACCCTCTCTACCACATTCTTGCATGATAACACTAGTGTAGAAATAGTTGTCGCCGTTGCAACGACAGGAAGAGTCTCAACAGAACATCTTCGTGGCCTGAGCTCCATGGGCGGCAAGGTCGTATTGCTCCCTGCAAACGGTGCCTCGTGAGATGCCCGGCAGAATGGCAAACGGGGGAGCTACAAAGGGGCTGTTGCTTCACCGTCTCGTTAAACCTCCGACGCAGCATCTCAAGGCAAGGGTTGGGAGGATATGACTGGAGGATCCCAGCTGAAGAGCTCCAAGAATATCGCACCAACCGAGTTCTCTCGTCCTGCCGCCCCGGTTTTCTGACCTAGCTATGCTCGAAGCTCGGCCCTGAAATGGCACATGGGCACTGGTGCTGTGACGTCGGCATCATAAGGGGCAACCACAGGGAGGGCATCAGTGACTTCAGGCAGCTGATGTAAGACCTCTCTATGGAAGGGGGATGATGCCTTTGGGGAAGCTGGCAACAGGAAAGCCAAGTTGTGCCACAGTTGATACGCCTCCATCCACTGTACTTGTATCTCACCAGGTGCCCGCCGCAGAACGCGACCCCGCTTCCATCCATCGGTGGGTGCCCAGACCTTGATCCCACGCGAGCAGCACTTTCCAGCAGCATCCGGCACAAAATTTCTTGCTAATCGCCCAGTCCAGATGCGGCATGGCTTTCATCATGAAACTCTCTAGAGCCGGCATGAGCCTGCTGCATCAAGGCCACAAGATCTCCCACAGCACAGTCAGTGAAAGCACCTGCGCGAGATTTCAAGATGCTCTCTGCAGCCACATTCTGCGACACCGTGGAATGTATGGCACCCCCTTTTGCCACGCCTGATGTTCGAAGTTGAGCCAAGGCCACGAGCAAAAGGCCCCGGACTGACATGCACAAGTCTAGACAGCCAGTATCACATCGAGGGATGATCAGGCGCACCTGTGGGTTGTTTGTTCTGCTTCGTGCTTGTTCCCTTCAGTGTTTGTGTGTTGCAGCACCTGGAAGCCAGACTGGCAGTGCGAGGCGAACACCCCTGTGCTGGCTGTTGGAAGTGCCGCCCGAATGTCGCAGCTCACTTGCTGCAACGTTTGTTCGCAGCCCCCGGCATCAACATGAAGCATCACCACTATTTTCAACTGCCGTAGCCGCTCGCATTGCCCACGTCATGTTCAAAAGCTTTCTTGAAGGGGAAGTAGTTGCCTCAGGCTCTCATAAGCCGCTCAATACACTGCACGTGTAACTTGCACGAGAGCCTTCTCAAGCCATCTTCCTGCGACCGAGCATCCTTCAGGGTTATGCGCTCGGCCAGCATTGTGATCGTTGAAGATGCAAAAGCACACCTACTTGGAGGTTCATGGCTAGTTATACATAGAGTCATAAGCAGGGTAACTATACTTAGAACCCATCTTAGGGGGACTCATAACCCAACTTGTAACTTCCCATGAGCCCTACACCCTATAGAACCCTTTAAGGAACCTTATCACCCCACTTATAACTACCCATGAACCTCCAAGTACAAAGCAGCTCGAGGCCGGATCTTGTCGGAACAAGCAGGGTAGTAGGGGTACTACAAGTAGCAAGAACACTTAAAGGGGGTAGCATCGAAGAATACTTTCACGAGGTCTTACTGTGGCAGGTTCGCAGAAAAAACGGCTGGTAGCAACCTCACAGGACGAAACTTGATATGAAAGAGCTCCAGCATCTTCCCAAGTACGAGCAAATGCGGGTGAGAAGTTACCCGAATTCCACTCATGGTTCCTTTGCTGCATGAACACGCATGGGGGCGCATGCGTGCAATCAGGCTTAGGATGATGGTGATCGTGGCGAATCTACTCGTACCTGCTGTGCAGAAACAAGATGCAGAAGAAAAGTAGTGACAACTAGGAAACAGTAACTACACTGGCAATGCGACAACGTAACGACCGTTGGCGTTACAAGCAGTCACTGGCTGCTACAAGATCAACAGAAGTGTCAAGTCGCAACACCGGTAGTTCAAGTCAGAAGGCTTTACACTATGCGAAAAGGGTCAATGTACAGTCTGTGCAGAATCCTACGAACGGCGGCAACACACTGTAAACACGGCACGAAGCCAAAGTGTCACCAGTACCATTACCAATGCCAGTTGTACTGATCAGATGCATACGGCATAGGGATAGTTACGGTAGTGTGTCAATAGCTACTTTAACAGTTGCAGTGGCCGTGGTAGTAGAAGAATATGAAGAACTCGCTACAGGCGACCAGAGTATCAGCAAACCACGCAGAAACTAGGTAGCAAAAGGATGAGCACAAAGGCTTCCCGCACCCTGCCCCGTGACAACTATGGGGAGAGAGTGGACGTCTGCCTTTTGCAGCTTCACCGTTGCGATCTCCTCGCTGAACAATCGAGCGACCTCCTGGCGGTCGGAGCTTGCTCCCTCCTCGAGCCCGCTATTTTAATGTGGTTTGGCTTTGTTATTAACAACTACAAAGTCCACAAAACCAATTTGGGGCTTGGGATGTCGCCTGTAGGGTTTAGGCTCCCACCTCTGGTGGATTTCCGAAGGCACCACAGCCGAAGGCTGAGAGGACGCAGGCATCGCAGCCGGCTTTCTCGGCACCCTTCAGGATGACGCGCACCTGCGAGGTTTGCCCGGAGACGGCTTAGAGCTTCAGGGTTAAGGGTTTAGGGGTGGGAACTCTTCGAAAATGAGATCTGTGCGTGTGTGCGCATGTTTGTTGTTCGTTTCGTTTCTCACCAGAACTTGCGAAACACGGAGACATAACCAGAGCACAGGCGTCCCGAAAGCCTTTTACAAACCAATTAAAGCATCGACATGAATTATGCGTCATGTATGCATGCATGTATGTTTCATTTATTCATGTCTACAATCAAGGAGCCTAAAGGAGGGAGCAGGGGGTTGGGGACACCTAAAGGCGGCCAGGCACCGTTTCATTAACTTTCCGTGTATGGCCTTCTGCCGCATGGACTCCTCATCCTCCGCGAACTTATACCTTGGAATGCAGCATGTGACGGTCATCCTGTAACCTGCGGCCACACAAGGTGCACCCTAAAACTGGTGGGCGGTACCAATCCAGCGCTGCCACACGCCTTCACCCCACATGCCGCTCCGACAAGGGTGCAGCCCGACTTGTTCCGACATATGCTGCTAGGCACTGCCAGGGAATTCATTCTGCCGGATTGCTTGCGATCAGTGGTTAGTGCAGGGTAGCGCAGCGCAGCGCACGTGATGATCGTGGCTTTGAAGGATGGAACCTCAAAACAGCACGCGCAAACACAGCTCCCTAGACCCCGTCTTGCTTGATCGCCACGCCACATCGATGCCTTCAGAAACTGCCGGAGCCACAAAGAAAAACGCGCCCCCGGAAAGCCCTGAACCCTTGTGCCCGTGGCATTGTCCAAGTTTCCTGAAACAAAAATAGATGGTTTCCAGCTGTAAGAACCCACAAAGAACATTCGACTTTCTCACCGCAACTGTCTATGTCACGAAGTGAAGACAAGACTCCAAAAATGGATACCCTTCCTTTTCAGAGCCACGGAGGATGGTGACGTTCGTAGACAACAAGCCTCGGGTGGATGTCACACAGGGGTGTAAGGGTTTGGTCCACTTCTACCTGCAACTCCAAGTCTGCAGAGTTGGCTCTTGATGCGTGATTCGATTATGCTTTGGACTCGGAGTTCAACCGTGAAAGCTACCTTCAGCAAGCCTGAAATACTTCATTCCTGCAGCAGGTGCTGACAAGACACATGCATCTGGTTTTATTGGGTACAAGCCTTGGCAACGAGGCTATCAGAACAAAGACAAAACACTGATGACATCGCAGGCCTACTGTAACCGTGCTCGTGTCATATTTTCGATCCTCGTCCTTGCTTGAAATTTGCCTCTGTAATGGCGAACCCTACCCTGGAAGAAAGCCTGAGCCATCCAACACATTTAGATCCTGGAAGGACTCAAGCTTCAAAACTGTGGTCACACAGTAGCTGTGTTTTGGAATCTCGGTACAACCCGGCCCTGGTCAGCAAGATTACCAAGAAGTTCTACCAAAAACTGGCTTACTCGCTTGCCTTTAGGCATGACAGCGCAAGCCGCTAATTCTTTAAAACCAGCAAGTAATTTGCCAGAATGGCTCAGTTATGAAGCACAGCGAGTTGTTGGCCTGTGCACTTTGGTCATCATTTCATGACGAAGTCCGGCTTCGGCAGGTTCTTCGGTTCAGACTGATGGCCTCTGGAGTACCAGCCTGGCCCCTTAGCGCTGGCACTTGGCGTGAACAGCCCGGTGTGAAAAATGGAGTTGAGGAGCCCTGACCGCTCCAAAGTGATGTGTTGCTTTAATGTGTCTAACTCTGAGTACGCGCTCTTGTTGTAGGCGGAGCTGCAAGCAGGATCTGTTGGGCCGAACTCAGAGCCATAAGGCTTGTCACAATCGCGTGTCTCGAGGCCTGAGAAGCAGTCGAAGGAAGTCGGGCAGAAGGAGTACGCGCTGCTGCAGGGATCATGGCAGGATCCGTGAGTCCGGAGCCAGCTGGGTTCTATCATGGTTCCCTCACTGTAATCATTCCATGTGAGAACCTGTACAAACTCAGGCTGATACTTGCTGGTCACCAGAAGCGAAGGTTCCAGCATTTGCAAGAAGGGAACATGCAGCACTCGGTTGCTGTAGCAGTCACGAAATCCTCGGTAAGCTGCCCCAATCGCGAAGGAAGAGAGGCTGTGATCGTTCTTGTAATGTTCCTCCAACCATTGAAGGTCTGCAGTGATCCAGGGATATGTGCCATTGGCCCACTCAGGAAGCGGAACCTCCCTCCTGGTCATGTAGTAGGCCTCAAAGGGCAGGGGCTGAAAGTTGATCTCCACGTCGTTGAACACAGGGATCACAGGGATACCATTGTGCCGGTAGTAGTGGGAGCGGCCAACCCACTGGACCAGCTTTGCCTGTGCCTCAATGAAGATGTTGTTGTTCACAGCATTGTCCACAACAATGGCTACGCCCATCCCACGTGCCTCGAGCTCATCAACAATCATGTCGACCACACTGTCCCAGGATGTGAGCTGGTAGTCGATCCACAAGCCGTCGATGCCACTCGACTTCATCAGGTCCAGCTGCTGCCCGACCACCTCCCGTTGGTTCTGATCATAAAGCCCCAGGAAGCTCTCGTAATACGAGTTTCCGACACACCAGTGGTCATACACGCCCGGAGTCCTGATGCCCAGAAACCATGGCATGTAATGCACGACATACTTGGTGCGCGGCGCTCCACCGCCGGGCGAAGGAGCAGAAGTGTCACTTGGGCGGCGCAGGCAAACTGAGCCGCTCCTGAAGCACGCAGCAATCAAGCTGCATTCAACACCTTCCGAACAGCAAAGATAGAATCTCTCATCTCTCCCTTGCTCCTCTGTGCTGTTGCGCCGATACCCTCTGGCCGTGTCCAGAGCTCACAGTGGCCAATCCGGTACTCGATGCCCTTGCAGATCGTCAGCTCAAGGCAGCGTTCCTGGTGGAGAACCGTGGGGAAGTTACACCAGCTCAGTCTTGCACTAAAACCAACAACTTCAACAGCCGTGGACAACGCTTCATCACTACCCGTCACCTGTACTGATCCCGGGACCCCCTCTGCGTAAGTCTTCCAGGACGAAGTCTCCTGGCAGCGAGCAAGAGAGCTCGCATGTGCGACAGAGAAGTAGCCAGGAGAGTCATCGTCCCAGTCAGCTCCGCGGCACTCGCGATCAACTCCACCGCCCACAACTTCCTGAGATGCATACTTTCCGTGGCTTACGCCTGGGACCTAAAAGCTTCTAGAATTGGAAAAGAATGGCAGCAGAGCGTCCCACGTGGAGGCAGCAATTTCAGCCAAAAGCTCTTGCCTCAGCATGCTCACAGCGGTCGCAGCTCACTCAGGTCGCAATGAGGGACTCGAAGTCGCTGCGTTTCTACGCCTGGCCTTGAGGGGCTGCTGAGCTGGAAGCACTGGAAGCCCACCACGGCAGCAGAGGCCAGGATGCCTCCAGACCTGACAACACCGTGTGCCAGTGCCACGGCTGCTACGGCCGACAAAGCCGGAGAGGCCGGCAACGGGCGTTGACATCAGGCTTTGTGCTGAGATCAGCGCCTCGTCCACACCTCGCAGCGGCCATCAGAGTACTCCATCCCCACGCAGGCCTTCTTGCAGAGTGCACGCATGCAAACACGCCGCATTCTTGCAACTTCGCGATACCCCCATGATGAGTAGTGTGCTCTTGCGCCGCTTGGGCGAAGGTCGAAGGATGCAACACTGCGGCTGTGTGCGCTGGCCTCCGTCTGCGCACATCGGTCTTTGCAGTCTGCCGGCGAGGTCTCGGGGAAGACAACCTGCAGCTTGCGAGTGCCTCAGCCTCAAGTCCTAACCGGACTCACCCTGCACGTCATTGCTTGCGCAGGCGCATAGTAGTCTGGCGAATTGTCCGTGATGCTGGCACCACGGCAGGCCCGATCGCTTCCGCCGTCCACCGGATGAAAAGCTAGGGCCTGGTGCCGGCAGGGTGCTGGGTAAGTTTAGGGTTCTGCAAGCATGGCTGAAGCGCATGGGTGAGCGTGCTCGCCGTGGCCGCCGTGGCCTGGCCTGCAGACATTGGTAGTTGGCCAGCTCGAAGGACGCTTCGATGCCGGCACGTCGGGTCCAGACCTCACAGCGGGTGTTGATGAACTCGATACCCACGCAGCCCGTCGTATCGCGGCAGCGGTTCTTGCAGTCCTGAGGGCATTGGGCGGAAGGGGAAACGAGCAACTCCGGACCACCTGCTGACTTGCTGCAACACGTGTGCCAGCTCCGTAACATAAGCATAGAAGTTCAACCAGGTGCAAGCTGCATACAAGAGTTATTGTACACTGTAGTTTCTTTTGGAAATTTTGACACCAGAGCCCCACGACAGCGGTCCTCCAAACCTGTGACTGTAAAGACCTGGAAGTAGTCTTGGGAATTATCATTGGCATCAGCTCCACGGCAAGCACGATTCATTCCACCGTCCACCGCCCGAAAGACTAGATCCAAAGGCTGTGGGTCATCCACAGCCGGCTGTGGATCCAAAGAGCTCACGGTCGTAGACCTTGTCGTCGATGCAGTAGACGTGGCAGTGGCCGTCTGGCTTGTCGCCGTTGCCGTGGCAGTCGTCGTCGCTGTAGCAGTTGTCGCCAGCTGCGCGACCCGAAAGCATTTGAAGCCTGGAAGTGAAACCGATGATTCAATGCCCTCACCCCGCACCCAAACCTCGCATCTTCCCACAGAGTACTCCAAACCCCTGCACTCAGGAGTTGCAATGCATTGCCGCTCGCAGTCATCCAGTACAGCATGGGGGTGAACAACATAGTGGGCCGGGTTGTTGTCGCTGGGGTTCGCCCCTCTGCAAGCTCTGTCATCCCCACCATCCACCGGCTCCAGTTTGGCCACACGGCGGTAGCAATCGGCAGTTTGAAAATCCACTGATGCTTGAATACCGCCAGGCGTGGTCCAAAGTTCACAGCGCCAGTTGGAAGGGTGGTACTCCACACCTTGGCACGTATCCATCTTCATACATTGCCATTGGCAGAAGGTCAAATCTGAGGCCGTGCTCAGTTGGAAGTTCAAGGGCGAGTTATCGGTGACACTGGCTCCGCGGCATGCTCTCGAGACACCACCGTCCACCGGCTCGAACATTAGTGTACCGAGCTGGCTGAGCTGCACAGTGCTCTCACCACTGCCTCGTAGCTTTGGCTGATGTGGGAAGAGCCAGCATGCAGCTGCAATCAGCCCACAAGCGACGACCAAACCTGGAAAGAAGTGACGGACATGGCGTCCCACACTCCCTTCGGCAAAGTGCGAGACATGGAGGAGTGGCTGCTCTCCTCTACCAACATCAGAATCAGAACCATCCGAGAGCGGGGACTCCTCTCTCTCCATTGAGCGGTGCATGAGTCTCGTGCTCACGCAATTAGGCTCAACAGAATTCCAACTGCTGTCTCTGTTGCTGACAAACCTGCTGTGGAATGCAAGAAGACTGAGTACATATGCTCTCTGGAGCGAGCCATGATCTGTCACACAGGATTAGCAGCCTTTAGCTGCCAGGGCACTTCCCTTGTATGGCTCCAGGAAGCGGTACAGGTCGCTTCGGCGGTACACATTCTCCTCCTAGCACGGCAGCTGCAGCAGTTCTCAACACGTACCGATTTACCAACACGCATAGCCTACGCTTAGATCGGACGCTCCCGAAATTATGAAAAGACAACCTTGGCAAGATCGTACGTACATCGACGGCAACTTCCTTATGTTTGTGAGCATTCAGACCCAACCTCAACGACATCGCGCACGACCAAAACCTGCGAACTACTTCAATGACCTCCAAGACAGCACCTAGGACCCAGAAGTCCTGTGCGCCAGCACCACTGCGGAAGCCTCCCCCCGGCGAGGACGACGAGGCCATGTTTAGCACTGCCACAGTGCAGCCCCTGGGCGAAGCTAGGAAAAACTAGTCTGTGGAGGGAAATCCTCCATACAACATGGTGAGCATAAACATCGCCGACGAGCGTTCAACAGGAGGTAACACCAAGGAATGCCAGACAAGCCACTGCTTGGCAAAATCGCCGGCTTTGTCAAGCATGTCGCACTCCATGACTTCTACCTCTTAGCTTTAATCCTAACTGCCTAGACAAGCCGACCGAGAAGGGACTGCGACTTGCAAACTGCTGCTTCATCACATCCCCAGGCTGAAGTTAATCGTGGAAGCCTTATGAACTTGGCACGAAACAAAAGAAGAAATTCGTATCGGTAAATTCCTTCACCACGGACTTTGCAGGCAGCTGTTCGGATTCTATGCAATGTCTGGACCAAGTGCCTTGGTGATTTGTGGGTCCTCTTGGCCGTCTGCCTGCGAGCAGTCTCCCACCTGTCACAGGATGCAGCACTGATGTGACCCGACCTATCCTGGCAGTCCGCCCTCGCAATCCGAAAGGCGGACTCCTTAGCATTGTATGCACATCGCACTCCAGGACTTCTTCCATCACATGCCGACAGCAATACAGCCATCCGCAGCGGGCAGGTCTTTAGAGGACGAAAGATAGCTCTGCGAAGTTGCACACAACACTGTTGTTCAAGTCAATCCTGCATGCGATGTCCTGAATTCGAAGCTCGCGGATGATATCAGGAGCTAGGGCGCCCTAAAGTGACCTTCTACCAAACCCAAATCTTTAAACAACAACTCCCACAAGCTCCAGAGGAGCTACCTTTCTTGACTGTGCTAGGTGGAACAGGCGAAAACCATGTCAGCAAGCCTGACCCCCTCAAACAAGAAGAACGCCTTTGTCGCAACGGAGACCCCTTGCACCTCAAAGTGAATCGTGCCCACTTGTCCCAGCTTCTCCGGCTCCTCTTTCTCCAGCCTGCTCAATTCCTTCTCAGTCTGCAGCCTTAGCTGTCCACGCTTACGCTTAGCATGTCCGTTCTTTTGGCTTGCCCTAGTCAAAGGGACCCTAAGGGGGTAGGGGGGAAGGGGGGTAAAGGACTATACTTCCTTAAATAGGCCTTACTAGATCCTTATCACTGGTTTTAAGGCCCCAACACCCCTCCCCTACCCCACTAAGGGTCCCCAACGACCTTGGCAGGCAGGATGCCAAACCAGTTGCCGCAACCCACGGATGCGACACATGTTGGGATTCTTCTTGCCATCGCCGGCTCTTTGAAAATCCTGTCTCCACCTGCCATGCTGAGCTTTGCACACGGAGAACCCGGAAATCACGATAAGAGCATGACTCGTAAAGCAGCAGTTCATTTCAACGGTTTGATGTTCGGAGACAACGCCCCAAGTGTGATGAAAGCAGGGCCCTACTTGTGGAGCCTCGAGTCGGTCTGCGGCTTTCACTTTGACTTTGCCCCGGCCTCGCTGGATCATGCGGAGATCTGGCCAAGACCTGCAGGGGCTCTGAGCGGCTGGGTCTGTGGGCGGGGAGCCCTCCGAACTCCTGAACCCGAGGCCCCCAGGCCCTAGGCCAGCCTCGAGGCTGCGGTTCTCCACATCGTAGCAGACGTCTGAGCCGACTGCGCCGTCTCCTCCGACCTTGCCTCCGCCGCTCTCCGACTCCAGGTCACCGTCCCTTCCGCGGTACTCCACTTCTCTGGCTTCCTTCTGTCGAGCAAGGCAACACCTGCAAATTTCGAAGAGAGCTGCCATGGCTCCGCGCTGGCTCCGAGGCCACCCGAGGCCACATTGCGGCTCCTTGAGAAAGACAACGGGATCGATGTGCTCTGAGGCCACGCTGTCAGGGTGACCTTAGGGGATTTCGGGATTTCATTTGGACGGCCTTGCGTTCCAAGGTGGCGGAACTTTTGGAAGTCTTGCTGCATGTCTGAATTGCATACGACATCCTTTTTGCCTCGGAACTAGCGACGGATAAGGTCACGCAAAGCAACGCGCCATGCAGCTCCAAGCAACACGGGCTGCTTCTTGGGGCAAAACACGTTCGCATTAAGGCTTTTTGGTACAGGAACATGTCTGCACAGAAGCTGCCGGCGCAGAAAGCTTGACCCACATCGCAAAAGCAAACACTCAGGTTCACAGCACCGGCTCGAGACCTTGAGCGTGCGCGACCTGCTTTGCAGGAGCCTGCACAAGGTCCTGGACCTTTGGAGAACGGCTCTACACGCCCTCTCTGGAGGCGTTTGCGTCCCTCGCTCTGGATATCGTTTGCTACAAAGCCCTTGATCTCGTTCGACTGCACGTGGCTCCGTGATTCCAACTCGCTCACAGCTTAGTCAGCAGAATTGGCCTGGACGGGCAGAGCAGAGAACCTCCGCAACCATGTCAACCCCTCCGTCATCAGTCATTACATGTCAGCACGGTCGCCTGGTGGCACGTCGAGCATTCCTGGGGATCACCGGAGGCTCAGACTTCCTTGTCCTACTGAAAAGCATGGGAGCAAGGCTGTGGATGGCTGTTGGCTAAGGCTCTTCCGACCAATCCATCCGTCGATGCCTTTCCAACAGATGCTCACGAAGTTGCCACTCACGGCCTTGGAAGCTGTGCTCTGAAGACATGCGCCGAGACGCGCCGCACCGGGGGCGCACAGTTCAAACCAAGATGCGAGGGCATGTAGCAATGAACCGTTGGCTATCTCGGCAATGACGGTTGCCCCCTGGGAGAGACAACTCACGAACGCTCATGCAACTTTTTGAAGCTTTGGCTGCATCAAAGCGCCGTCGGATACGACTTCGCTGTCATTGCACTTTTTCGGCAATCTACCGACCAAGTAGCACGCTCTAAAGGCCAAAGTCCCCCGTGTTTAGTTCGTCCCAGGGCGGACCTCCACAGGCGTCTCAAACACACGGACGGCAGGATGATTCTCGGCCTGCAAGAAGCACATCCACTGATGTAAAATTCGTTCGCAAGCGTGAAAAAGCAGAGGAATCCACTTAGCTCTCGGAAACACAGCAGGACGCATCCAAACGTATACCCAGCAAGCAAAGCAGTAGCAATGGCAAGGCAAAGCAACGCTGGAGATCGAGCCAGAGCTCCGGTTTCCGCAAGGTCAACTACCCAGCTAAAGGACAACACCTACGCTCCTTAACGCAAGCGGATCTTTTGCTGGATGTCACTGAAAACAAAGCTAGCATGAAACGTAACAAGCACTGACAAGCACTCAAGGTGTACGTGTACGCGGGTCTGTGACAAATCACAGCAAGGAATCACAATGAACAGTCATCCAGCACACCGGGTTCGCTCAAAGTTGCAAGTTGTGCGTTTGCCAAGGCCGAACCCCCCAAACCGTCGGAACTTGCACCTGATGAAGTAACATCAGCGGCCCTTGCCAGGCCGCACGGCCGCCCACCGCGGAGAAGCCTGTCTCCGGTTAGCAGTAGAAGGCTGGCAGTTCTGGAAGCAGATACACATGGCGCCACTTTTCGAAGAAGATCTGCTTCAAACCGCGCTCTTTTAAGTCAGAAGTGCAACCGCCAGCACCACCACTACCACGACCACGACCCCTTTCCCGCAAATGACCTCGTGGTACGTCGCCTCCCGGACCCTTTGTGCTAGATTTGGGCTTTTTTCAAAGTGGGCCGTGCGCGACTATGAAGTGGGGCTTTAGCAGCTTAGACTTGTGGCTTTGGGGTTGAGGGCTCTGGTACCCCTAAATGAACCTCAAGCCTTGCGGCCCCAAACCATTAAGTTTCCACGAATACACGTTCGCATGGGCCAGGTCGCAAGTCGAGTCTGTCTGCAGGGTTGGTGAGGGTTGCATGGAGTACCCCGCTTGTTCTTTGCACCGAGTATAGCAGGCCACAGATCACAGGATTACTTTAACTAGTTCGGTTCTGCGCGGCTCGCGGTGCTTGAGGCATCCATTTGTGTAGGCTTGAAGGTCTGTTGATTAACTCCTCAACATGCCCAATGAACCTTTATAACTAGTCATCCAGAGTTTACTTTAGGGCTTAGGGCCTAGGGTTCAAACACAATTCCGGCAACCTTGAAGCAGGAAATCTTTCCTTCGGCTCCCCAAGCAGACGAACTGCTGTACATGCTTGCTTCTTGAGGTCTATGCTCGATGGGGACCCCCATGATCCTACAATTGAGAGCGTAGATTCTACGCGGCCCCCGATTCCTTGCTTATCCGACGACCCGAAACCCTGGGCCAACACCACGCAAATGGGAATGCATGCTGGATCCTTCGAGCACAGCCAGGCACAGGCTTACCGACATCGTTCGAGACACGCTCGTGTCTCGAACGATGCCTTTAAGGCTCACCGACGAGGAGGGCGGCTGCGTGCTCTAGAAGCTCCACAGTTGCTCACACAGGACATGCATCTCCATATCGCCCACCTGGCGAGGACGAAAGCGTTGAAATCGTGGACACTCAGCTTTCGTCCTCGCCAAGTGAGCGATATGGGCCACGACCCCAGTTTGCTGCTCAGGCGAGCAGCAGGTGAGTCGGCAATGACAACGTACATACATCAAAGCAACCATCGCAAACACAGCAGGCTCATCGCACCAGAACTGGCATGTTCAATCGGACCGCTGAAAGTACATGTAACAGTTTTCCTGCTGCGACAACAGAACTTGGCCTCTGCATCCTTATCGGCCCAGCGGAGCGTTTTCTGACAGTCCAGCTCGTTGTTGGCAGCTACATCGGCAATCAGCTGTCTCTTGGGGCTGTTGTAGGAGTCGAGCGGACATAGAGTTTTCGAAATTCGAACACGCTGCGTCCGCTCGACTCCTGACAAACAGCCCCAGGAATTGTTATGTCCAGCTGGGCCACAACAGTCTGCTTGCAGTGGCCTTTATAAAGAGCATAAACTTCGTCGTAAGTTGCAGTTCGCAGACCAACCCTCCTGCGACACAATGGCATCCGTTGCTGGCGAGGTCAACTACAACTAGAAGAACATTAGCTGACTGTAGAAAAGATGCCCTGCACCCGAAGTGTGAGCTGGAGGTCGCGATATCCAACTTCCAATGGCTTTTGATGATACCTACTCCCAAACCACTCAAGAGAGAAAAGCGCTGCGATGATTGTGGTGATGAATATTAGCCAAGGCGTGGTGGTAACCCCTCCCTGGCTGAGGCAGCGGAGATCGCGTTGCGGAGAACGGTCCCTTTCTGAGTCCCTTGGATCATCTTCCAAGCTCATGCACTGCCTTCGCGTTCGATCGCAGCAGTAAGTGGCGGGATGCCTCTGCAGCTGGAGAAACATGCTGAAACTAGGACAGATTCGGAGTGGCTCGCATGCTGAAAGACCCGCCTAAGAAAAGCAGGTCGCCGACAAAGTCGAGCAAGGAGGTGAGAGCCGCCGGCTGGGCCTGCAGGAAGAACTTGACATGACATGCCAACCACGCAGAAGGGCACAGAACGCTGCCTTCGCATCGTCCAACTTGAGCCCGTCTCTGAAGCTGACGCCGTCGCGCAGCCTCGAGGCCACATCAGCCAGCTCGGGAGCCAAGATGCCTGTCATTCCGAACCCGGAATCGGCGCTGTGTCTGAGGCTTCAAAGCGGTCCGAATCATATCTGCGCGGGCTTCCCAGGACCCCCGAGTCTTCCTGCACGTGGCCTCAATGCCCTCCTATCTTCTAAGACTGAGTGAGCATCGGTTCGTGCATTGCAGCAGGCACTGGTGTGTTAATTCGGGCTCGGGACTGCCCACATCGGCCTGCTGCTGTGCCCTCCATGGCGGCACGCACAGCCGGCGCGTCGATGCTAAGCATTCGGAGCGTGGCATTCCGAGCCGAGGTCCTCAGGAGCAGAGCTCCGGCCAGAGCAAACAGACAGGGCTCGGCAACGGACACGGTAACAAAGGGACTCGCTCTCTTGGCCGGTTTCGCAAGTCACCCCAATTCAAAAGGACCTGCAAGCGACGACACTGCTGCCAAGAGGCTGCACCATCTGATCTGCATGGTCGATCAGCTGCACGGCCCCTGCACTTCAGAATGGCGTTCCAGATTCCGTAGCATCATTCACGACAAGACACGAGTACTTGAGCAGTCGAGGGGCTGTCGAAGATCGGCATTCGCAAGGCAGCTTCTCTTCTGCCGGAATCGGCCACGTAGCCTGATCTACGGGGATGATATTTCTTCACGGAATCCGTCTTGTGGCTCTGGCCTCCACTGCCCTTGCTCTCGGTGCTCCGGCACGTCGCGAGGCACAGCAGCCCTAGCTCTCCGTCGAGGCGCAGGGCGATGCCCTCGGGTCAGCACAGGACGTGGTTAAGCATGAAGAATCCTCTCTTGGTCCTACTGCATCTACTCAATACTGTTGCCATCGGATGGCTCTGAGCAATGGCAGCGCGGCGGGGCCTTCAGAAGTGTGACGAAGTAGGCCATTGATTCTTCGTCCATACTGTCCTCAATCGTGCAGACTGCAAGTACGTCCCAGCGTGACTATTCAGCAGCACCGAGGTCACACAAGGTAAAAACAATGCAACCAGCAGGCATGGATGTCGAGAATAAAGTTTCGACTGAACGTGCACACACACACACAGACAGAGACCGCAAGAAAGACAAAAGCAGAGAGAGGAGACGACTATAAAGAGAAATGCACATTCATATATCCGACACATGCGATACCCGACACGAAAAAGAACGAGCCATGACATATAGTGTTCGTGCTCTTTCCAAAGTAACACTCTAACATTTTGTTGCGCATCCCCCATCACAAAACCCACCACAGAGGCCTGACGTTTGCTCCAGCCTCAAAGCAGTTCAACAATGAACAAAAACATGTTTCACGTTGGATCAGTCCCCAGTTGTTAGAGTAACCATCAATGTTTCGGAAGGCGGGGCATCCTGAAACTTGAATCCAGGGGAGGTTTCCCGAATCCACCGTTCTCAAAAGATTCTGTCGGTTGCAACCCGAGGTAGCAAACCCCGAAAGACCGTTTGTAACACACGTGCAAAGCCTTATGGTGTAGCCGTGCATGTCGGTCCAAACAGATGTACCTTGCAAGTCTCAACTATCTACACCTTCTTCCAACCCCTTGAAGTCCTTGTGAACTCACATTCTCGAACAGTAAACCATGAAAGTACCGAATATGCCACAGCAATCATTCCCGTCCTTGCATTAGTGCAGGGATCGAGGGCGGTCAAGGTTGATAGATATGTGTAGCACCAATTTAAAGTAGTAGTAGGAGGAGGCGTGTGGTGGTGGTGGAGGTGGTGGTGGTGGTCGTAGTAGCAATAGTAGCACTCGTAGCATTCGTAGCAGTAGCAGCAGTCGCAGCAGTAGTAGCAGCAGTAGCAGTAGTAAGCAGTAGTCGTCGTCGTCGTCGTCGTCGTGTTGTGATGGTGGTAGTAGCAGCAGCAGCAGCAGCAGCAGCAGCAGCAGTAGTAGTAGTAGTAGTAGTAGTAGCAGTAGTACTAGTACTAGTACTAGTACTAGTAGTAGTAGTAGTAGTAGTAGTAGTAGTAGTAGTAGTAGTAGTAATAGTAGCAGTATCAGCAGTAGCAGTAGTAGTAGCAGTAGTAGTAGCAGC